GAATGGTAAACAGCATTCAACTTCCCAAGAGAGTCAAAATGGACTACAAGTGCCCAATGGATTAAATAAAAAAGTATTAACTGAAGTTGCAAGGGACTGGCAAAGAGAACATAAATTACAATGGATTTAGGAATCAACTGAAGATGAGAGAACATCAAAAAGCCTGAATGAGAAACTCAAGAAAGACTGCTTCAGAAAGGATTTGTTTGAGTGCCTGTCTATGTGTCTTTAAAATATAAGGGAGAAGCAAAGGTTTAAATGCTGTGATATACAGCCCTATGACAAGAACAGAAAATATAAGAATATATATATTTTATATATATATCTAATATAATATATATCTAATATATATATTAGATATATCTAATATAATATATATATATATATATATATATATATATATATATATATATATATATATATTAGAAGGTATTAGAAGGGATAGGAACAGTAGTAAAAGGGAACATTCATAAGTTCAAGGCTAGCCTGGACTATATGGAGAGACCTCATCAGAGAGACAGAGACAGACAGACAGATGGCAGGGTGGGAATGTGGAGGAATATGGAAAGCTATAGAAAGATGACTCATGGAATAACTGACAGGCAGAGATAATGGCCTAGAGATAACTGCAGAAGCAGTCACTAAAAAGCCTCAAATTACATTCTTATCAATACAAGGCAAGGTCACATGACTAGAGCGGGGATGTTTGTAGGAAACGAGGGCATTCTTTTGGGATGACTATGGGGAAGAACAAAAAAGAAATCGACTCCATTTAAACACAGGACTAATGCATGGTGTCTAATGAAAGGGTCCCAATATTAAGTGAAGCCAACCAGTCTGCGGAGGCGCCAGCTTCACAGCTGCCTAGTATCCCCAACTGTGCTAGCTACGAGTGATGGCTGGTGACTGTCAGAGCAAGACACCTTAAGATGGCAGCGATGCAGAAGATACTGAAAAAAATGGGGATAAACGTCCAAGAGCTCAACTAGAGTCTCAGATTAAAATGGATGGTGAAGTAGAAGGAAATGAGGCCCAGATGCAAGAGGTATTTCAGAGGTGGAGAAACTCCCATGATGCTCAGGTTCAGCACGTGGAGAATGGAGGAGAGCAGAGTTTATAGAGAACTAAAGGACTAGGAGGTCAATGGTCTCTCTCTCTCTCTCTGTTTTTTTTCTCTCTCTCTGTGTCTCTCTGTCTCTGTTTCTCTCTGTCTCTGTTTCTCTCTCTCTCTCTCTCTCTCTCTCTCACACACACACACACACACACACACACACACACACACACACACACACAGAAACCTTGTTGTGTTTTTTTCTCTCTCTCTTGGAAACCTTTGTTTTTTCTTTCTTGGAAACCTTGTGTTCTATCTATTTATCTATCTATCTATCTATCTATCTATCTATCTATCTATTGATCGGTATCTCTTTTACATGTACACACACACACACACACACACATAATTAAAAATGAAATCTAAAAAATACTAACACATAAAATCTGTGTTTCTGAGTTACAATATAATACATCAAAACATATATAACGTGTAATATTCAAGTCAGAATAAATACATCCATCTCAACACTTGATCTCTTTCTTCTACCTTTTTAAAACAGCATGCAGCAGCGATAGCAGGTACTGTAACTTAGTACCTACTCTCCAACATCCCCCTACAATGCCTAGAATCTTCATAACCTCTATCTTGATTCTAAAGTATGTATTTAGACTCGCCTAAGAGATAATGCAGAAGAAAAGGTACTTCAATGGGGAAAAAGGGTTATTGAAATAGCAATGGCGTGACTTAAAGAGAAGGGAGGCAAAGAAGCAGAAAGGAGGGAGAAGTGGAAAGAAGGGAAAGGACAAACAGAAGAGAAGATGGCAAGCCTAGAGATATTAGCAGGCGAAAGAACACAGCTTCAACCTGGAAGGGCTGAGCAACTCCAGTTGGAAAAAAGAGATAAAGTGAGTCTTTAAATGAGAGAAAGCCATCCTAAGAGTGTTGTGTGTGCATATGTGCTTGCATGTATGCATGTGCATGTAGGTATATGTGTGTGCATTAAGTGTGCATGAGATTAAAAAGTCATTTTATAAAGAAGCTGAGGTTAGAGATTAAATTGTTTCTAGAGCCACATTGTCAGTAAAGTAGTTGAACAGGGGTTCTATCCTCATGGCCACAGAATTATGGATGTTCACTTATCATGTCTACTACATGTATTAAGAGCCCAGCTTATTATAGCCATTACAAATAAAAAAACCTTCAGCTACTTTGTTTCTCACCAGAACTTGATAATATGACCACATCATCCTACTGCTAAAGATACCACACATGGGTAAGACAGAGAAATCAAGTGAGAACTGAGCTGGAAGCTTCTCCTCACTGCTTTCTCAGTGCCAGAAGACACTCTGCAAGCTGCTGGAGGAGGAAAATCAACATTCTTCCCCAGCTGTAAGTCATGTGGTACAGTAGCAACTGGCCAGGCAAGATGTGTCCTCTGGTTCAAGAGTGCCTTGACTGAGACAGAGCTCACGGCTGGGGAGTCAAAGGCCCCAGAGGAAAATCTACTACTATGGTTTGCTAAATGGTCATGTTGTCAAATTTCCTTCTCCACACTCATGTTTATATGTACACGTTAGTGCCCTTCTCAGCCAAGCCTCTTATTACAGTATATGGCAGTTAATGCAGAGACTCTTCACTAGTCAAAGTGCCAAGACTACAGGATGGGGTGTGTTCAGCCCTAAGGGGGGCAGCCACATAATCCCTTCCAAGGCTTGGGGAACATCGTGGTATAGTCAGAGACTGAGAGATGAGAAACAAAAACCACATCTTCTGACATGCCACAGCACTGTACCGGTGAATTCGTTTGCAGCTGCGGTTACTTGCACAAGATCGAGCCTGTCAATATTTCACCATGGACAACAGAGGGACCTATGAGGTCCCACCCTCCCTGAGGGTCTGTTGGCAGCTAATGGTTGCTGGGGAGTGGGGGTAACATTTTCTTCCGTGGTGGAGCCGTTGACAAGTTGCCCATGCTCAAGGAAATACTCTCCCACCCATGCTTGTTCAAAGAACTCTAACTGAAGTGGCTCACACAGAGAAAGAAGACCCGGATGTGGAGGCTGGCTTCCTGAGGACAGGGAGAGTTTCCACATGAGTTGGGATGAGAGAGCAGAACTACCAGTGAAAATGACTAAAATTCATTATACACATGTGATATAACTGTCCAAGGAGAAAAACAAGTAAACTAATAATAATAAAGATTATAACTCATCTGTAAGATACACTTCTACCTTTAGTAACTAAGGTCTTAAGCATTTTCAGAAGCCTCAGCATAAGAAATACTGGTTTTTCAAGAAAGCTTTGCTTTTTTTTAACATCAGTTTATTTTTGCAACTGTCCCGTTCAACCACTTGTCAGTCCAGCAAGATCAAAAAAATTAAAATTAGCCGGGCGGTGGTGGCGCACGCCTTTAATCCCAGCACTCGGGAGGCAGAGCCAGGCGGATCTCTGTGAGTTCGAGGCCAGCCTGGTCTCCAAAGCAAGTTCCAGGAAAGGCGCAAAGCTACACAGAGAAACCCTGTCTCGAAAAACCAAAAAAAAAAAAAAAAAAAAAAAAAAAAAAAAATTAAAATTAAAAATTCTACTATACAAAAACAACAGCATACTTTCTTTTATGATACTGATATTGTACTTTAATGCAAGCATTTATACACATAGTGGGTACCTTTTGTTCTAGTTAGCTTTAACTGTCAACTTGCTAGCCTAGAGTCATCTGAGAAAGGAATTGCCTAGATCAAACTGGCCTGTGGGCCTGTCTGGGGAGGGGTTCTGTCTTGATTGTTAATTCATATGGGAGGGTTCTGTCCACTGTGGGTGGTACCATTCCTTGGGCAGGTCCTGGGCTCTATAAGCTAGCTGGGCATGAGTTTGTATAAGCCAGCAAGCACAGTTCTTTCATGATTTCTATTCCTGTCCTGACTTTTCTCAACAAGGAACTGCAACCTATAAGCTGAAATAAATCTTTTCCTCCCTTACATTGCTTTTGGTCAGAGTATTTTACACCAGTAAAAGAGATGAGACTAGAACATTTTTATAATGTGTCATGTATACAAATAACATTTTATTTGCATGTATTTTTCAATGGTAAACTATATCTGGAAAACACAGCACAAATAAGATATAAAATGTAAAAGCTGAAGTCAACAAAAAGTGAACATTGTTTTTCTGCTTCAACTTACTTTGACACAAAAAGAGAAATTAATTTTTGCCTAAACTACATAGCTAAGGAGAAGCTTGCATTACAATCCTAACATCAATTTGAGAAGCAAATGAATGCATAACTCTTTTCTTGGTGATTTCAAACTTTTAGAGTATCTGTTGCAAGAAATACTTTTCTTCACTTTCTTTTTATAATTTTTTTTTACATACAATATATTTTGATCCTATTCTTCCCCTCCCCCAACTCCTCCCAGATCCTCTCACCTTCCTGCCCTTCTAACTTCATGTTCTTTTTCTCTCTTTCAAAACACAACAACATAAAACAACCCCCAAAATAGAGGGCAAAACAAAACAAAAAAAACCCAGTAAGACAGAAAACAACAACAACAAAACAAAAAGCACACTTTACATGGAACCCTCTTTCTCATTTTAATCAGACTACCAAAACCTTTCACTAACACAGTACTCTTAATTACATTTTATCATAGGAATAATTTCAAAATGGTAGAAAAAAGGGTTAATTAGATAAAGCCAATTCTTTCTGAAATGAAAATGTTACCCACACTCTTACAGTAATCATCATTGAAATGTGTGGCTTTTGACCTATTAACTAAACACTGTGCACTTCTATGACTCTTCCCCAAAGAAACCAAGACACAGGTGCTGAACTCTCAAATTAAATATGATCAAGAGAGCAACACTCCAGTTTATATTTAAGCTAATAAGATTGATAACAAAATCCTGAATTCTAGCACACACTACATAATATGCACACTATTTTACTTACCAAATCATATATTTGGTTTGCCAACTGTACTTTCTCATCTGCATCTTCCAAAGCCTTATAGTAGTCCTAAAGAAAGACATTTTCATTTTAAGCATTGGTAACGTTAGCATGCATGCATACACATATATATTCCTGCCTCTTCATTGTTCTACCTTGTTATCATCCAGCCATCTCATATGAACAATAGCAAGCCTCCCATGGTAGAGTGTGGCTGGGAGAGTATTAAAAACGAAGGGCAATGTTAAAAATTAAAAGATGACGTTCAAAAATCTCAGAAAAGACAAGTAAAAGAAATTATGCCAAGTCCAGTCTCTTTACTAGAAAGTTATGAGTTAATATATATATGAAAGAACAAAAGAATGTGAAGATTTAGCTAACATATAAAACATACCAGCACTCCATTTATACAACTTAAAAATACTTATGTGTATATGTTGCTTGCATGTATGTATGTGTACTGCATGCCTCAGAGAGGGGGCATCAGGTCCGCTGGAACTGCAGTTATAGATGGTTGTGAGCCATCATGTGGATGCTGGGAATAAAACCTGGTCCTCTGGAAGAGCAGCCAATGCTCTTAATCATTGAGCCATTTCTCCAGCCCCAACTTTTGTAACAAAAATACAGTCATAGAAAGGATTCTGATCTGCATGTCTATGGCTCTAGTTTTAAATTAGGTATAAATTCATACCACCCAAAATGTAGTTTATATTTTTCTATATTATAGTTTAAAAAAGAAAAATTATGTTTTAAAAAAGAAAAAAAGTATCTTATGAGCTTCTACATACTATTAGACTTTTAGGGGTATGTTCAAGCTGTGCTACATCAAAAACCTTTTAGTTGAGAGGGATGGCCAGTGAGTTCTGGATTTAAATATGCAAGTTCTAAACTCCAACACACCTGGGTCCCCAGGTATTATATAAGGCAGGACCACTTCTCTTAAGAATGCAGACTTTTCCCCTTCGTAACAGAAGCAGCCTTCCTTCCACATGGAAGAATAACACAACTGTGAACATTTTAGTTTTAAATTTAATTTTTCTGTAGCTCCCAGAAAATTTATATCAAGGTTGGGTGTACTTATTCTTCCTCATATTAAAAGACTTGACCCAAGTCACGAGCTACATGGCAGTGAGGACCAAAGCCAAGTCTTTGAAGTTAATGCTCCCAATGCATCCTTAAAGACACCAGACCCCACATCACAGCACACTCCGTGAGCTTATCTAATCTGCACTCTAATTTGGAGGACAGCCCTAAGTCCCAGCACTAGCTAAACCTCAGAAAGAATTACAGGAAGCTCTAAAATGGTGCTTCTCAGTCTTCCTGATGCTGAGGCCCTTCAATACAGTTCCTCGTGCTGTGGTGACCCACACTTTAAAATTATTTTCATTGCTACTTCATAACTGTAATTTTGCTACTGTTACGAATCTTGTGTTTTCAGTTATGAATCAGTAATGTAAATATCTGTGTTTTCTGATGGTTTTGGCGACCCTGTGAAAGGGTCGTTCCCTCCTATAGGGGTCACAACCCACAGGTTGAGAACCTCTGCTCTAAACTATAACAAGTACCCCCCAAGTCACTCATAATGAATGTTCCTTCACTCAATATCCAGGGATCAACCTAATTTTAAATCTCTCTCTCAGAGGGTCCCAATTGTGACTGACAATCATCCAAGGTATTCCACTTACTTTTTTGATGGATGCCATCTGTTCTTCTCGCCACTCGGGTTTGTTCTTCTTTGCGTTCATAAAGAATTCACTGACTCTTTGTTCTAGTTGATCCATCGCATCTGACATAATAAAACAGTTCACACTTAGCCGACCAAACTGCTTTGATTTGAGGAAAGAAAAAGAAGTCTGACAACATGTACTGTTTTGTTTGCTAGTGGCTCATACACGTTACGCTTTTATTCCATCAACAGTAATGCCCTAACTACCTTAGTTTTAAAAAGCTGCAATACTTTGTACTGACTTCTGCTGTTTCAAAACGCTTTCCAATAATCAAGGTAGGGTCAACCACACAGACAAGGCTTGAGCAGCACAGCACTGAAATCAGCTAATGGCATTAAGTCAGCTGTTATGGCAACCATAGCTGCTTACTAAGAGTACTACTAGAAAGTTTTCACACTTCTTTTAAGAAAAATAGTGATAATATATTCAACGTTTGCAACATAGCATCAAGCACCCCATCAATTCATCTTTATGAGGCTATGAAATGTGTGATCATTTGTTTACTTAAGATGCCATTTACTCATCAACACACATGCTATTTATTCTATGCAAGGGTGTTCCAAAGCCCGTGTCAAAAATAATGACCTTAGTGGATGACTGCTAAAAAAAAAAAGACAAATAAATAAACGGGATTTTCTGTTATGGAAATGGAGAAAAACTTGCTCACTATATTCATCATTTAAAGATCTTCAGTGCTTTCGAAAAAAGTGAGGCATTGTAGTTAATCTTAAGTTTTAAAAAACATTTTACTTTCAGTTCATGTACGGATAGTAGACATGATGCTACTTTTGTTAATACATAATCACTTTTATCTTCAGAAAACACCAGGCTTATAAAAAAATAAATAAATTTGAAAACCCTGTAATGTGTGTAGACTAAAGCCAAACTACCACAGAATTTAAAAAAAATTGAAAGATTAAAAATGTTTTAAATAATCCCTTATTTTATACCTATTTGTAATGGGTATTATACATCCTAATTATCTGTATTATTTTAAATCCTCAGATTGTCTTTTACAAAAAAAAAAAAAAAAAAAAAAAAATGCCCCAAGGCAGCAAAGCAGCCAAGGTAGATAAGAAACTGGTGATGTCCTAAAGCGAATCCAAATCTATCTTCCACCAAGCTCTGCTCAATCCCTTTGGAATGTGCTTTGGCAAATGTTTACTACTGCAACTACATTTAAGTCAAAAAGGAAAATCACATAAACACCTGCCACACGTTTATGACGGGCCACGGGGCTATGCGCCCTAAGAGATGACCCAGAGATTGAGAAGTACATTAGGGAACAAAAAGTACAGAAGTGGGGGGGGGGGGGGCGGGTGAGGGGGGCGGTGTGGGACTGAGAATGAAAAGAACAAGCTCTTAGCAAACTCAAGCTGCCTTTGAGCCACCTCCAATATGACTTTTCAAGAGAACAAGGTTAATTTGGGGAATAAGTCACATACAAAAACTACCAAGGGTTGACTGGCAGAAAAAATCAAAGCTGAGCCAGTATGGTGGCCCATGCCTATAAATCCCAACACCAGACAGGCAGAAGCAGGAAGACCAGGAGATTAGGGCAGCCTAGGATACATAGTGAGTGTGAGACCAGCCTGATCTACGTGGCTGTGTTTATAAAACAAGAAAGAAATGAGCAGGAAAGCCTACCAAATGCCTAAATTTTTATAAAGAGCAGACCAGAAGATTTCCATCATCATTATTTCTCTCACTCCTTTTGGCTGAGAAAATAACCATGCTGTTGACAGCTCTAAGTGTCTTTCATGATATGCAACTTGTCAAAGTTCGGCCTTCCAAGTCCACTAGGCTCCCTAAAGAACCTCACAGAACCTGTGATTCTAAGTCTTTACTCTTGAGAAATTCGGAATATAAGGAACTTTTAAGTCTGAATGCAGAACTCCAAGTTCCACACAGAGGCTCAAGTGCAAACCTTCTTAAAATCACGCGAGTTTCCACTGCGGTGCAGTGTCGTCATCTCCATGCAGTACACAAACACTGTGTTTGCTGTGCCCCGCGTGTTAACGGAATGGTGTGCCTGCCGCCTCCTGTTAACAGCCCGAGAAAAGTAGCGCGGAGAACCCGCCAGGCGATGCCCGAGGGAGGCCGGGGCTGCGCGGGGCCGTGGAGACGCGCCACTTACTCTGCACCTGCAGATCCATCTCGCGCATCTCCGTGAAGCGGTCCCGCAGGTCCATCGGAAGCTGCTCAATCACTGTCAAAGGCACAGTCCGTCAGAGGGCGGGGCCAACGGCGAAGGTACGCGCTGGCGTCACGCGTGCGTGCGTGCGTGCGTGCGGGGGGGGGGCGGCTCACAACGAGGCTGCCAGTTACCGTGAGAAAGAAACATCCCCCGCTCCCCCTCCCTCCCGCCATCCCGCCCGCCCGGCCACTCGCGCTCCCGCCCGCCGCGGATCCCGCCCGCCGCGTTGCCGGCGCCGCGCACTCACTTTCCAAATAGTCCTCTAGGTACAACATCGCGGCCCTGACTGCTGCGGGGACGAACGGGTCCAGGGGTTTATTTGTGTCACTCGCTGTCGCCGGAGTTTTGTCCCTTCCAATATGGCGCCTCCGCTAGCAGCACCCGCTCGACTCCGGCAAAGGAAAAAAAAAAAAAAAAAAAAAAAGCAAAAAAAAAAAAAAAAAAGGCTCCACTTTGGCGCCTGACGGCGCTTGCCTCACTGCCGCCCGCCGTTGCCATTGGCTGCCTGGGGCGCTGACGTCAGCAGACCGGTGCGGATCCCCGTGGTGTTCTGGGAAATGTAGTCTTTTTTTTCCGAGCAGGGCCACCAGTGCGGGCACTTCTAGGCGTCGCAACTACAGAAACCACACGCCTGCGCGAAACGAGTACGCCAGAATCCGAAATGCGGTGCCTCTGTTTATTTGTTGATTTCTTGGAAGGGGAATGACGGGAGTTGTATGCGCCTGTCTGACATAACTAGGAACAACTTTTCACCTGTTCTGTGCTGTGATTCCAAGCCCGCCGTTTGTGAGTCATGGATTTCTAGCCGTGCTAGGCAAATAGCAAAGATTCTAAACGCTAGAATAATCGGCCAAGTTCGGAAAATTCGGATTGTTTAGAACAGAACTCTCTGCTGGAATTTATCTTCATTATTCACTCCTGAGATAGAGACGGAACAGCCGATTGTTGTCCCTGTAACTTTAAGATAATATATACTGAGACAGGAGCGAATGTGCATTTCCCAAATTAAAAGATGCCCAAAATAGTCGGCAATAGCCAGTTACGTTTTGCGGCGTGTCTCGTGTTCATTGTAAAGCAAATGTTCTAATGCACCTGCAAATAAAAATAAATAAATAACGACCAACCATAAATTATGGAGATTTACTCCATTGCTGGGACGTACCAGCAATGATTCGAATTCATATTGGGGAAATAGCTGGGTTAAGGGTTATAGTCCTGGGCTGGCTCTTTTTCTACCCTTAGCAAATGTTGTCTAGTGGTATAATTAGTGTATCACTGCTCCGTTTCTATCTTAAAATCTCTCATAAAAATTCGTGCACTAAATGAATGCTTCTGTGTTTTAAGGAAATGATCCCTTCTTAGACTATCTAGTGGAGCATCGAGGCACACCTGAAATCCCCAGACTGGGGGAGTTGAGACAGGAGGATCAGCAGTTCAAGACCAGCCTTGGCAATATGGGTAGTTAAGAGGCTAGCTCCAGACTATGAGAAACCTTATCTCATACCAAACAAAACAAAACAAAACAAAGAACAACAATATGACACTTTGAAGATGTATTTTATTCACTATTCTGAATATTTGTATATGTCCAATTTAAATTTTTTTAAAATGGCATACTTGTAGAAGCTATTTTGTTCTCTTCTAAAGCCATTTTCTTACTTCTTGTGTGTTAAACGTAGTCTATTTCTGTTTACTTTAAATCCAGTACTGAAAACTGTATATTTGTGCTATTTTTTCAAAAGCAGCTACATTTGCTCACCGTGCCTAATTCCATCTGGGTTGGGATTTTTAACTCTGAATTCACTTTTCTGGGGTTAATAAATGTAGAGATTCTTCAAGGCTGAAGTTAAAATTGAGTTTTCCTAGAGAATATTAGCATTTGATTCTGCACATTGCTGCAAGACACCATAGAACTTAGGGTCAAATTAAGTTGTGCAGTTGAGGTTTACTATATTGCACAGATTGATTGAATTTGAGCCTGTAACTCAAATACCTCATATACTCTCCAGGGCGACTTTTTCTCTCTTACTGACCTCTAAGCCCAGGACAAGCATGTTTTCTTACTGCCACCGTATGTGCAAAGAGCATTTCTCACTCACCCTTAGGTAGGGAATATTGCTCTTGGGAGCCGCAAATATTGCCTTCTATTAGACTTCTCCTTGAAAACGGACCATTGACTGTCTTCTTACAGTGGCATGCTGCAGGGCTGTCCAAGCAGCAATTCTACACATCCAGGATTTGATTGACAACCTCTGAACCAAGAGCTCACTTTGGCCTTGGTTTTCTCTGGATGTGCTCATTTGCTGTCCCTCATCTCTTGTATCCATTCTGAGAATTTCTTTGTCTTACGAGAACATCCGTACATTTGCATTTCTTTGTTTATTTGAGACAGACTTTCAGGTAGCCCAAGCTGGCCTCCAACTCACTATTATAATCAGATCTTGAAGTTCTAATCCTCTTGCTTCTACTTTCAAACCGCTGACTTTACAGGTTTGTGCCACCTCACCCCATCTGGCCCATCTGAGCTTATCAATCCAGAACTTTTCATTGTTTTTAGCAGACATTGCATTCAGAACAGTGAATATGACGTGCTGTCAATTGGCCAGGTAAACTGAGCTTCCTCCGGGAGTGTTCGGTATTGAGGAAAATGAAATTTAAAAATGATTCTAATTGTGTCAATGTATCTACAGCCTCCAGAGAAACCCAGAGTGAAACTTGCACACTGTCCATTTTCCTTACTGAACATAACCCTTATTGCTGGACTGTATATCACCTGCAGGAAACCTACTGGGTTCTGCAATCCATAATACTTGGTGATGCCACCGACACACAACCAACACCCCATTTCTTGGCAGTGCTTCTTATGTGTGAATATTCTTGCGTTTCCTGATATAGCTTATTAATTCATCAGGGGTGGGCTCAAGGTGGCCCTATTATATGCACTGTTTTGTGGTGTAAACTTGAGAATGAAGAGAGGAGAGGCCAATAACATTGTAACATAAGTGCACACATTGTAGCACAATAAATGTATGGTCCTCTTGCCCCTGCTGCTGAGATCCACCAGATCTAGTTCTTTCCCTGTTGTTCCCAACTTCCTCTGTCACTCTGTCTAATAAGAGCTATGTAATGTTGAAGGTGGTTTTAACATTCAGTGTGTCTGTGTCCAGATGTGTAAGTGGGAAATAGCAACAGCAATTCAGACACGGGAGTGCTTGTCAAACTGTCTGTCATCTATGCAGAGTTCTTAGATTAATTCAGGTATATGTCATTATTCAGCGAATGTCAGTTGCTATTGCAATCATCATTCTTAACATCATATGTCTTTCATAAGTTACCTATATTGCAACTGGGACTTTGTGGTGCTCTGGGTTCTGCTTGGTACCCCTGCTTCTTTTTAAACCAGACACTATTGGAACGTTAGCATTGTTTGGGGGGGAGATTTGTGTGTGTGTGTGTGTGTGTGTGTGTGTGTGCGTGTGTGTGTGTGTGTGTGTGTGTGTGTGTGTGTGTGTACCTGTGTGGGCATGCACATGTCACAGCTCATGTGTGGAAGCTAGAGGAAACTTATGGCAGTCCATTCTTTCCTTTCACCCTGTTGGTTCCAGAGAGGAAGCTTAGGTTCTCAGGCTTGACAATATGTGCCATTACCACAGAGCTATCTCCAAGGCCCTCTAGCATCAACTTACCCACAGCTATGATGCTGCCACTGTCGTGATAAATTCTAGGGAGTGACATGCAGGGAAGATGTAATATGCCATGAACATCAAGGAAAATTAATGCCCAAGTAGAAGGAATTAGAATTTAGGGAAATGAATAAAAAGTTGATGCAAAATGTGAGGTTATCAGAGTTCAAGAGAAAGGGGAGTTTAAATCCTTTTTGCAGCATGTTCTCGTAGGAGGTTTTCTTACTGCAAGGTTCAAGCACTTTCCTGGCTTAAAAAGAACCACCATCATGAAACTTACAATGGACTTTGAAGATTAAGAGTAGATTTTAATTCTGCATTAAACAGTATGTCTGCCCTAAAGACATCTGCATTATGTATGGAGAAGGAACGTTACCTTTAGCAAACTTCTCTACTTTATAAGATTAAAAATCCATCAGACCATTTCCTGGATGAATCACAAGCACACCAATAGATTGATAGTCTTCCCTTCACAGATCTGTGGAAGCTAGACTTTTCCTTCCCAATACTCATGTTCCTCAGGGAGATCTCCTTCCTGACCTGGTTTCTGCGTATTGGTGATGGGGAATCTGGAGGGTAGCCGAAAGCAAGGAGATAAGGAACTAAAGGGGGGAGTTGGCAGAACAGACTGCTCTTCAGGAGCTCAGTGGGTGGGTAAAGGAAAAATGGATGGTAGATCCGTGGATGAAAAGCTGTCACAGAGACATTCTTACAAATAGACTCCTGAGCTGGGCAGTAGCGCATACCTTTGATCCCAGAACTCCGGAGGCAGAGGCAGGTGGATCTCTGAATTTGAGGCCAGCCTGGGCTACAGAGTGAGTTCCAGGAAAGGCTCCAAAGCTACACAGAGAAACCCTGTTTCAAAAAAACAAAACAAAAACAAAAAACACACAAAACAACAACAACAACACAAATAAAATAAATAGACTCCTGATCAAATTGAAGGAGACACTCAGAACTAAGAGAATGAATTTTCCACAGGCTAGGAATAGAAAATACACTCTAAGTTAAGCAGTTTCAGAAGCTGAAATAATTTAGTTTAGAGACTCTTAACTGTTGGGTTTTTATTTTATTTTTGCTTTTGTTTCAGTGCTGGAGGTGACACCTAGACCCTTAGACACACCAAACATATGTTCTAATACTGTTGTGTCCCCGACTGCCAGGTGTTGAGGTCCTGACTGTATGGAGTGAAAATACGAACCGCCTTAGATCCTGTGCTGATGGGAAGCTATTATTAATCCTCTTGCAGTAGGTCAGCCATCATAGATGGATCATCAGTTAATGTGCCTGGGCAAATGATACAGACTTTTCCATCCATCCACTGACATTATGGTTGAAACATCCATCAAACGTATGAGAACCTCAAACCATCACACCTTTGTGTGGAGGCCAAATTCAGACTCCTCACAAGGTGCAGCGACTTCCCTATGATCGTAAAAATTATTCTAAACTGATGCATTGGTCAGCCTTGTACTGCTAGAAGGAAATACACAAGCAACGACCTGTCTAAAGAGAAAAGTGTTATTAACTCACAGTTTTAGGATTCAATGGCTAAGACTAAGGAAGAGCTTAGGTCGCTTTGGCATCCGGTGGGGGTGACAGATATGCCAGAAGCACGTGTCCAAGTTAGCAGTCAGATACTGAACTGGAAGTGAAAGGGAGAGACTGAGCAGAAGAGATGTGAGTCTCATAATCTCCTGATGGGGCACACCCCAATGACC